GAGCTAGTATTGTTTCTAGCTTCTTTGCCCTCAGTACTTTTTTCCGCTTTCCGTTTTGGAAAGGGTGCCTGGCGATCGGTATGTTGGATATCAGACTCCGACCGATTTACCAGTTTATTTGCAGTGTGTGTTCCTGCTGGTTTTTTTATATTGTTTTTATTATTATTATTCAAATTATGTTCCATTAAATTCCCACGAGTGTGGGGGAAAGGAGGTCCGCCGTGTCATAGCCCCCGATAACACGGTAAGCCCACAGTTAATGAGGCGGGCAGGTATCATTGAGGTGCGACGCTAGAATACAGTCTGTTACCCCCGACTGCAAACAAGTCCGATGAACACGTGCAAATTCCGGATTGGGGGGGAAGATGGAGGTGGAGAAGGATATGGGTATTGAAATGTTGATAGTAGGGAATATTTAGGAATGGGAAAGTGCGGGTTTGGCTCGCATTAGCCGCTATAAGCGTTACCAGGGATCACCACGTGGAGGCCCTTCTTTAGAAGGGGGTGAGTACTTGGGATTAGTCTCACCTGCGAGTCCGTCTAGGGAAATACTAGGATCCCCGTCGCCGTCTATATAGTCTATAACAGATTTCTCTCCTCATTCACACTGTCACATTTCAGTCTACACGAATTCTATTTTTCACTAGACACTCCCACCAACGCCAAATAAATAAGTTTTTAGGCCTGCATCATTATTTCATTTTTAACAACTTTTATTATTATTATTATTTTTTTTTTTTATTCCAATCTTAAAATTAACTTTAAACTAACATGATTTGATTTTTTTTTCTCAAACTTATTTTTCTTAATTTCACTTAAGGCTAATACAATGTTTTTTCTATCTTATGTTGGTATTTAAAATAACTAAAAAATTTTCATCTAATTCATTTTTTTATTTAATAATAAATAATTCTACTAGTTAAAATTTAATACATTAACAAAAAAAATATATTTGTATTTCTCTATAATTCACCTTTTTTTTTCTCTGATCTCTCTGCGGTTGACGTCAACTGGCGAAGAACCTAAAAGTTTGTATTCCAATACACCAAAAAAAATATTGTAACCCCTCACTTTATTCTTTCTCTTAATTTTGGTTTCTTTTTTTTTTCTTTGTTTTTTTTTTTTTTTTTAATATACCTTAAATTTGATTTGGATATATATAAGACAATATTATATGAAACTTATCGAAGAAATTGCAATTTACAAATAAACAATTGTGTTGCTCTGAAAACAAAGTTTTTATTTAAGTATTTTTAGTACATTAAAACAATTACACTCTATTACTTATATTACTTATATTTACCTGAAAACAAAGAAATGACATTTAAAGTCTATTAGCTAAATTAACAATTCCTTATTATTTATTATTTAGAATATAACTTGTAAAATCTATAATCACGGCGGCGGTATAACCTAAGAAAAAACGATATTCAATAAGAATCGTTTTATCATTCGCCGGACTTGAATTGAAACGAACCGGAATTGGTATACAATCAATTTGTATACAAACCGGTATACAAATTAAAGAAATATAGGTACCTAATTTCTTTACATCTCCCTCCACAAAGAAGAAAATTTTCACAGTTAACAGTTACATTTAAGTTAGTTTTAAGTAAATATAATCAACTCTTATTACAATACAAAAATTCCTGTAACCTTTTTTTTTTTATGTCGGTGCTGGTATAAGTTTTGTAACGTGAAAGAAATTTGACTCTACCTTTTTATGACCCGTATTAATTTTATATATTAAATTAGATATCTTTTCTACAATTTTAAATGGACCAATCTTAATCTCATCTAATTTGTTTCTATTTAGTTTGTTTCCATTCTCTACATATACCATATCTCCTGTATTAAAGTTAAGTGGAGACCTATTTTTATCAAAAATTTGTTTATTGTATTTATGTGATTTTAGTGAATTTTCAAACGCTATTTTCCTATCTCTAATCCATTCAGTTCCTGTTCTCTCTATTTTTAGTTCATTTGGCAAAAAGGAAACATCTGTACCATCCAGTAGATATTTTGGTGCAAAGCCTGTAACTGTATGTTCTGTATTGTTATATTTATCCACACAAAAGGGAGCAATGGTTGTCCATGCTAATTTATTGTTTTTCTCGTTTATTTTACATCGGATTTTGTTTACAAGTGTTTGATTAAGTCTTTCGTTTAAGCCGTTAGAAAACGGAGCATTTACTGCCGTGAAGACCATTGGTATTGATTTCTCATTTAAAAATGTTTTGAATTCTTTTGAGTTGATTCCCGGGTACTAATCGGTGAGAAGAATCCCAATATTATCACAATCTATAACATTATTAATTAGTTTAACAAAATCATTAGCGCCTTGTGTTTTTGACGTAATAATATAAGCATATCGTGTAAAGTGGTCCACTAGGAGGTGTAAATACCTTTTTGTTGAACGGGAGCCGCCAAAACCTCCAATTGTGTCTATTGACACTATTTCAAAAGGTTTTGTGGCTGGACCTAACTGAGACATTAGACCATACTTATTCTGTCCCCTTGTTTAATTTTTTATACATATTTCACATTTTTTACAAAAGGTTTTTATATTGATCGTTAAGTTTTTTGCTGTATATAATTTACTAATTTTGTTTTGCATTTGTTTCACACCTAAATGACACATGTTTTCATGTACTTCTTGAATAAGTTTTTTACTGAAATGTTCTGATAAGATAATTTTTTTGCACTTTTTAACCTTTTTGTAATAAATTTTGTCTTTTAATATTAATTTAAATTTATTATTTTTTATGTATACATTGTTTTCTTGATCTGTAAAAAAATACAAGGATGTCATCGATATAGTTTACGGCAAAATCAGTAAGATTATATTTTCTTAAAATATTGTTTAGAATTCTTTGAAATATGGCTGGTGACGTCTTCGAACCAAAAGGTAGACATGTCCATTGATAATGTCCTTCCTGAGTTACAAAGGCTGTTTTCTTCTTATCTTCAATTCTTAGTGAAGTTGACCAAAAAGCAGAATTAATGTCCAGTGTCGTAAAATATGTTGAGTTTCTTGTCTTAATCACTAAATCATCAATCAATGGGAATGGCTGAGCTTGAGGTATCACTATTTTATTTAATTCTCTAAAATCTATACATAATCTTGATTTTCTGTTGTCTTCTTTCTTGAAGGGCAATGTTATTGGTGCCGCAAAAGGACTATAAGATTTCTCTATGAGATTTTTGTCAAGTAACTTTGCTATTTGTTTTTCTATTAACTTTTTGTCTTCAACTGAACATTTATAAGGTCGCTTACTACAATATTTTTCCATTAGTAGATCAATACGCGCTTCATATTCTCTGACTGTACCAATATCATATTTGTCTTTTGCAAAGATTGATTTGTAAGTATCTATCATATTGTATATTTCTACTTGTTGTTCAGGATTTAGATTACTCATACTTATTTTAAACTCTTTCTCTATTACGTGTTCGTTAAAATTGATTGCACCTAGGTTGGTCTCATATTTTATTTCCTTAGTGGTATTATTTTGGTTATCATATTCATTATTTCTATCTTTTAGTTTTGTTTCATCTACTTTTTGAGTGATTTTAAAATTTTCATCTTGAACCAGTTTAAATTGTTTTATGATATTCAATCCAATTAGAAAATCATATTTAAAATGTTCTCCATCAATTATATAAACATCTGCATTATCTTCAATATCAAAAATTTTAATTTTAATAGTAGTCAAACCAATTGTTTTC